ATAAAACTCAAAACTAACATCCTAACTTAGTGGCGAATGTTTTTCCTCTGAGATCAAGAACAAGACAAAGATGTCGACTCTCACCACTTCTATTAAACATTGTACTGGAAATTCTAGCCAGTGCAATTAGGCAGGAAATAAAAGGCATCCAGATTGGAAAAGAAGTAAAAGCACATCTATTTACAGATAATATGATCTTATATATAGAAAATCATAAGGAATCCATTGAAAAAACTAGAACTAATAAATGCATCAGCAATGCTTCAGGATACACAATCAATGTACAAAAATAAATTGCCTTTCTAAACATTATCAGTGAGCAAACTGAAAATTAAATTAAGAAAACAATTTTATTTACAATACCATCGAAAAGAATTTAAAAACTTTGGAATAAATTTAACAAAAGAAATGCAAAACGTTTGTTCTGAGAACTACAAACATGATGAAAGCAATGAAAGAAGCACTAAATGTTGTTACTGAGCACCAAAGTTGGAGGCTTCACACTTTTTGATTTTAAATGTACTAGAAAACTATGTTAACTGTGACATTCTGGTATTGGCATTAAGGATAGACATATAGATCAATGGAATAGAATTGAGAGCCCAGAAATAAACCTTCCCATTTATGGACCATTGACTTTTGACAAGGGTGTCAAAACAATTCCATGGAGAAAATAAATAGCCTTTTCAATAAATGGTGCTGGGAAGACTGGATATCCACATGCAAAAGAATGAAGTTGGACTCCTACATCACACTATAATGTTAATACAAAAGTTAACTCAAAATGGTCAAAGACCTAAATACAGGGTGGGCAAAAGTAGGTTTACAGTCGTGAGTATGTGAAACAGTTTATTCTTGGATTATTTTTTAATTATTGTATTATCTTCCATACACACAACTGTAAATCTAATTTTGCCCCACCTTGTGTAAGAGTCAGAACTATAAAACTCTTAGAAAAGAGCATAGAGAAAACATGTTCAAGATATTGAATTTATCAATAATTTCTTAAATATGTCACTAAAAGCATAGGTATCAAAAGAAAAAATATATAAGTAGGGACTACAGCAAAATTAAAACGTTTTAAGGACTCTATCAACAATGTGAAAAGACAACCAATGGAATGGGAGAAAATATTTAAAACCATACTTATCACAAGAGATTAATATCCAAAATATATAAAGAACTCCTACAACTCAACAACAAAGAACACAATTCAAAATGGGTAAAATACTTGAATAGACATTTCTCCAAGAAAAATGTACAACTAGCCTATAAGCACATGAAAAGATGCTCAACATCACTAGGCATTAATGGAATGCAAATAAAAACAACAAAGAGATACCACTTCACCCTAATTAGGATAGCTAGGCATTATGAAAGGAGAGAAAGAGAGAGCAAGAGGAGAGAATAAATGTTGGCAAGGAGTTAGAGAAATTGGAATCCTTGTGCATTGCTGGTGGGAATGTAAAATTGTACAGCGACTTCAAGAAATTTGATGGTTCTTCAAAAAGTTAAACATAGAATTACAATATCATCTAGCAATTCAATTTCTAGGTACATACTCAAAAGAATTGAAAGTAGGGGCTCAAACAAGCAATTTGTACACTAATGTTCATTGTGGCGTTATTGGAAATTGGCAAACGGTGGAAATGTTTAATCCAAATGTCCACCAACAGATGAACAGATAGACAAAATGTGGTATATAGTACATACAATGGAATATTATTCATCCTTAAAAAGAATGCAATTTTGACACATGCTAAGCATGGATTAACTTTAAAAACATATCTATGCCCTAGCCGGTTTGGCTTAGTGGATGGAGCATTGGTCTGTGGACTCAAGGGTCCCAGCTTCGATTCCAGTCAAGGGTACATGCCCAGGTTGCGGGCTCGGTCCCCAGTGGAGGGGCATGCAGGAGGCAGCCAATCAATGATTCCCTCTCATCACTGATGTTTCTATCTCTCTCTTCCTCTCTTTCCTCTCTGAAATCAATAAAAATATATTTTAAAAAACATGCTAAGTGAAACAAGATAAATACAAAAGGAAAAATACTGTATGAGTCCACTTATAAGCGGTATCTAAAGTAGTCAAATTTATAGAGACAGAAAGCAGAATAGAGGTTACCAGGGGTTGGGAGAGGAAGAAATTGGGAATTTGGGTTTAATGGGTACAGAGTTTCTGTTTGGGACAATGAAAAAGTTCTGGAAATAGATAGTGATGATGGCTATACAACATTGTGAGTGTACTTAATGCCATTGAGTTTACACTTAAAATGGTTAAAATAGTAAGTTTTATGTGTGTGTGTGTGTGTGTGTGTGTGTGTGTGTGTGTGTGTATCATCACAATAATAATAAAGCAGTTAGACCTCCAGGTCCCTCCTTCTGAGCAACTAGATGGATGACTCCACCCCAGATGATGACTGGAGGTAATGCTCTGGAGGAAGTCAAACGGGCCATCCAGACTGGAAGGTATAAAGCACAATTGGGGGCAGGACCACCACATTGAAATAGGGTTATTTCATACTCAGTCTTCGGTTCTCTTCTACCACTCACTTCCCAGGGTGCTGGCACCAGAATGAAGATACCCTCCAGGAAGGAGACTAAAGGGGTTTGAGAGATCGATCTTAAAATAGACATCAGGGGTTCCCCAACTAACAAGCCCAGACAGATCAACCATCAGTGAAACTTCCAGTCAATAATCTCCACCTGTATGTACAGGTTCATATTCTGCACTACTAGGTAGGGCAAGACGGTAAAGGATCACCTGAAGAGAGAGGAAAGCTACTAAGAAACCAAAACAAACAGGAATAGATAACTTGGAGGAGGCAGCAATTATACAGGGGAAAGGTTGGAAATTAAGTATATTATTAATATCCTCAGAGATATAAAGAAAGCCAATGTGTTATATAGAAAAGAATAATCAGAGCCCTAGCTGGTTTGGCTCAGTGGATAGAGAGTCAGCCTGTGGACTGAAGAGTCTCGGGTTTGATTCCAGTCAAGGGCACGTGCCCAGGTTGCAGGCTCGATCCCCAGTAGGGGGCATGCAGAAGGCAGCCAATCAATGATTCTCTCATCATTGATGTTTCTATCTCTCTCTCCCTCTCCCTCTCTGAAATCAATAGAAATATATTTTTTTAAAAAGAATCAGCTCTGAGAAATTAAAAACATGATAGCAGAAATGAGAAATCAAATGTTTAGAAAATAATGAGGAAATCTCCCAGAATATAGTGCAAAAATACAGATATAAAATAGGTCAGAAAATTAGAGGACAAATCAGGAGATCTAACATTCAAATAACAGGGTTCCAGAGAGAGCAGAGAAAACAGACACTGCAATGAAATGATTTTTTTTTAAATCTCTAAAGTGAAGGACATGAGTCTCTAGGTTGAAATGATCTACTGAATGCCCAGTAAAATGGATGAAAAATTGACCCATATCAAGGTGTATCATCATGAAGTTTCAAACCAATGAAGACAAAAAGAAGATTCTCCAAGTTTCTAGAAAGAAAAAAACAGGTTCTATACAAGAGATGAAGAATAGAATGGCCGCAGAATTCTATGGCAACAGTGGATTCCAGAAGACCATGGTGCAATGACTTTAAAATTCTGAGGAAAAATTATTTCCAATTTAGAGTTCTTTATCCAGCTAGACCTCTACTTTAATAGAAAGTAAAATAAAGACACTTGTAATCCTGTAAGGACTTGGACATTTAATCTCCCATAGACCAGTTATCAAAGGGCAACTGGAGATATGCTCTTCCAAATAAGTGAATCAACCAAGAAAGAGAAAAAGATGGGATGCACAAGTAAGGGATCCAGTGCAGGCGAGGTATGATGGTGAAGGGAAATCCTTAGACAGCAGCTGTGCAACCACAGTCCGGACTCCGAAGAGACTTTCTAGAAAAGATGAAATGGATAGAATTCCTCATGTGTTTGAACTTATTAAAATATTTACAGCCCCGGCAGGCGTGGCATAGTTGGTTGGGTGTCCTCCTGTGCATGGAAAGATTGCTGACTCAATTTCTGGTTAGGGCACATGCCTTGGTTGCGTCTGGATCCCCAGTGTAGGAGACAGTGATGGATGTTATGTTCTCACATCAATGTTTCTCTCTCTCTCTCCTGCTCCATTCCTCTCTTTCTAAAAATCAATAAATTCTTCTTTAAAAAAAGATTTACACAAGGACGAAGAGTGTGGGAATTAATTAGTGATATGGACATTAAAAATCAAGCAAATTAAAAAACAAGGTAATTATTAACTCCAGAAAGGAAAAGGATATGACTTGGCGTGGCTGTCACTGGAGTTTACATAGTCATGATCATGTAAAATGCTCCAGCCAAAATTTCAGCTTATCTGTATTAGGAGGTGAAGGAGGCAATAAGTATATGAATAGATGGTGAGCATGAATGATTGCTAACTTCTTGTCTTCCATGGTAGAAAACCAACATATACCTAACATTGAAATATAAAAAGCAGCAAAAGGAGCATTTGGTTATATGGTTGTAAATAGTAAGTTATCAGCCAAAAGAAGTGAAAGTGGCTGCCTCTGGGGGGAAATGGAGGCAGATGGGGTCCCCTGTATTTGGTTACCAGCCTTGTAGAACTATTTAACTCGGTAAAATAATGCACATTTAGCTTTCATAAAATTAACACAGCATAATTCCCTCTTTTATATGGCTGCCAAAAACAAACAAAAAACACACACACACACAAAAACAAACAAAAGCAATAAGACTCGGTTTTCCCATTTGCTATCAAATCAAATTTTTCTGAATTTGATTTCCTCACCTGTAAAATTGGTTGTTATATAGATTGAAATGGATTGTGAATACAAAAGTGCTTGGAAACTACAAGAGTTGTTTAACGACAACAACAATGATTAAAAACTTAGAATCCAAAAGTTGGGAATCCTCAACATTCATTTATTCCATCACGTTCTGTGTGTAGCAGGGAGCGAGACGCCATAAAGCATAACCTTACCCTCAACTCACCTGTCCAGTACCTGCCCCCGCTCCTACCTGTTCCGGGTGGCGATCTATTCTTTGGGCTTTGGTGCTAGACTTTTCTGAATTCGGATTCCCGCTGTGCTACTTCCTTGCTGAATGGCCTCAGACCTTTTCCTTAGCTTTTTCTGAATCTTAGTTTCCCTACCCGGGAATAGTAAAGCCTCTCTTGCCAAACTGATGTGTGGAGCAAAGTAGAGATTGATGGCAAATCCTTTGCGTTGGTCAGTAGCTAAGCGCGGCCGGCTAACTTCAGCGCCTTCTTGGGCGCGCAGGACGCCTGGGGGAGAAGCCGGCTGAGAGCTGCTGGGGGCGGGGAAGATCGCAATCACTATGGCAACCGGAGACGCCTCGCGTTCTCGGCCTCCTGCGGCGAAGCTGGGAAGGCGAGTCGCGAAGACGCCCGCGGCATGAGGGTGGAGGACTCGACGGTGGCGGCGCCAGAGGCGGACAGCGACCCGCAGCAGCTTGGGCAGCCGGCCGGGCTGGGGTGCGGGGCTCGCGGGGAGCCCAACGACGGCGGCCCCCGGGAGTCCCACAAACAGTGTGAGTTCCCCTGCAGCCGCGGACCCTGCGCAGAGGGACCTGCCGTGTGGAGAACCGGTGAGAAGGAAACGGGGCGGGGGGAGGGGGGAATGGGGGGAACCGGAGTGAGACTGGTTGAAGCCGGGAAGGTTTGGGAGGGAGGGGGTGGAGCTGCTGTTTTGGCAAAAGGAGAGGTGATGGCACTGTGGTGGAAAGCACCCAGGCCATTTCCCCGGGTAGCCTCCGACTTAATTGGCCCCGTCATTGGCCTGGAAGGTATTGGGGGAAAAATGTATACATAAAAATGTATCAAAATATAAAGTCATTAAAATGTTATATATATATATATACATATATATGTATATATATATACATATATATATACATATATATGTATATATATGTATATATATATACACATATATATGTATATATATGTATATATATATACACATATATATATGTATGTATGTATATTATATAAATAATACAATATATAAAATTCATACACGGAAACATGTAGATCATGTTTGCCAATTCCTTCATTTTACAGACCAGGAAACTGAGGTCTAGCCTAGAGGAAAGGAAGTGACTCTTCCACGGTCACTCAGCCAGTTCTGGAGAAATACTTCTGAAGCATCCATCTTATATAAAAACTGCTGTTTGAAATTTTAACCCTGCCATTTTGGCTCCTGTAAATGCTTGCTGGCTTAAATAATAAGGAAAATAAGACAACTCCCATTCCAGAGAGGCCATAAACCTTCCCCAGACGAAGTTATCAGTGCTGGCGCCAGGCCAGGCCTTCCTTTGGTTGAGGTCTCAAAGCCCCAGCACATAGGTCTCTTTAAGAACTTGCAAAGGGGACCGGAAAACCCCATATTTGGGAGACAAAGAAGGTAAAAAGATATAAATAGGGAAACTTCCTCCGTGTTGGGGCCCAGAATTTGAAATACAGTTTTCTCTCAGCCCATGCGTAATAATAATAATAATAATAATAATAATAATAATAAAGTGTAACTCCATCTCTCTAAGCGTTGCTTGGTTCTTCTCCGGTCTTCTGTAACACTTCAAACACTTACTCATCTCTTCGACTTTCAGTCCATAAATTACTACCTAATCCTTTTAGAATCTCACAATTTTAGGCCACGTTTTACCCTGCTGTCTCCTCCCTGCCCTGCCAAACGCACAGAAGGCAGTTCTGGTCACAGTAGTAACTTGAGTCTGCGCCAGGTCGCAGTGCTCATCCATATTGTTCCATGGATTTACAGATGTTTCCCAGCCCCTGGCGCCCCACAGGTTTTCAGCAGGTGCTAAGGAATGATGATGGTGAAGATAATAAGCCTAAGAGGTCGGAATCCCAGCGGTTTCCAGCCCTTCTGCAGCTCCTTGTTGTGTCTCTGGAGAGCTGTCTCCGTTCCTGCAGTTACCTCCCAGCTCAGCGGTCCCCGGAGGGGGTGTTGGGCTGAAGAGGCTCAGTCTCCCGCCCAGGGGATCACACACAGTCCTCCCGCAAGACCTCATCAAGAAGCCCCAAAACCTCTGCCTCCTGGTGAAAGGGCCTCTTCCCTCAGCATCAGCTTCCACTATGACTGATTATGATGCATTATTTTTCTGCATGCAGAGACCTTAGCAACTTCATTCAGTATATGAAAGAATTTAGTATATTTGTTATGCCCAGATTCCAAGATCCCCAAAGACCAGACTAGGAGCCAGCCAGTTCGATGCAAAAGCAGAAGGTCCTTTTATTGGGGGCTAGCCAACCCGACTCCACCTCAGGCCAGCCCAGCGACCAGGAGCAGAGTGCCCCCGCGTGGGAAAAACCGGGTTTTAATAGGGGGGTGGAGCGAGGGGATTGTGGGCCCTGCCGATTGGTCAGGCGTAAGCCGGGTCTTGTTACACAGGATGTGGTCATATCTATGGCGCGCACTTCCCTTGATTGTCATTGGTTAGTTTAAAATCCCGGGCGTGGCCAGCAGAGGCCTGGGCTTCCGGGAAGAAGGCCGCACGTGGCCCCAACATGGAGGATACAGGCAAGATGGAGGGCATAGCCCTCGCCCTTTCAATATTTAAGTAATTCCTTATTTTGACAAAGTTCTTATCTGGGACTTTTCTCATTAAAGATGCTAGAATTTAAAGGTTCTTTATTCCTGTGGCTGTAGGTGTAAAAGGTAGAATTAACCGTTCACTCATCAACTCAACAAATACTGAGTCCTTACTTCATGCCGGGCATTGGGCAAGTTGCAGGGAAGTGAGTAATGAATTGAGGCAGGAGTCTAAACTTTCTGGAAGCTCACAGAGTCATTTAGAGTTCCCTCCTCAGCCTCCCCAAAAACCTCCTCTCAGGGCCTCAGCCTAAGTAGAGACAGGCCGTTCACACCCACACGAAGTACTCTGTCAATTTTCAAATGTTTTCAGTCTATTTTTTGGAAAGGTCTGCAGTCTCTCTACAGCTTGCACTCCCTAATCACAGATATGTTCTCAAATATACACAGATAGAATATAGTCCTTTCCCATTAAAATGATATAATTTCATCCTTGAATTGTATAAAGGTTAATTTGAGCACCTATCAAATCTTTCATGGACTTCAATGTTACCTTTAAAATAATTTGTAGCTCACACACCATAATGGTTGACCTCTTCCGATGTTCTCCAGTTTACTAAATCACTGAATCCAGTATTCTAGGTATGATCAGCTTAGAATAGTATACTGGGACTGTATCCTCCTTTGATCTGAACATGACACTCCTATTAAATGGATCCAAAATTGCCTTAGCTGTTTTGGTAGACACTTTATACTATTAACACATTAACAAATGCAGTCTATGACATCCATAATTCCTAAATACAAATTGGTATAGTTATCCCCCCTATACCACCCTATGGATTTTAGCACTTCATTCCAGGTATAGAAGTAGCCCTTTGAAACCTGAGTTTGTCCTTCACCAAGTTGGTGCCATTCTCACATTTGATTAGTTTGCTGGCATTTTCTACATCCAAGTGAGCAAATTAGATGGTGATCCCAACAATTCCAAAAAGAGCCTCTAGAAGCCCCTGACCTGTCAATCAGCATCTATGACATGGGCATTCTGTCTCCTACAAATGCACTTTATCAAATGCTTTGCTGAAATGCAGATACGTTGTGGTCACATCTCTCTAATCTATCTTGGTTACTAATTTGGGTTTGGAAGAATCAGGTGGGCAAGACTTTTAATTTTTTTGATGAGTTTTGTGACTTTTGAAAGTTACTTTTTCACCTATAAAATAGGAATAATTATACCTACCCATAGGGTGATTGTGAGAGAGATATAATGTATGTAAGATGCTTAGGGCATGGTAGCATTCAATAAATTGTAGCAATTGTTATTAGCTCCTAACAACAACAAAAAAAAAGTTTAGTCTGAAATAATATTGTTTTCAGCAGTCCTTAACACAGTAATCACAGCTCCTCATTGTACTCACAATCAATCTGTTGACCAATTCATTCACAATGTTGGTAAAGAATCAACATTAAACTGCTGCTAGTTTTTTATTTTCCCTCCCTCCCTCCCTCCCTCCCTCCTTCCTTCCTTCCTTCCTTCCTTCCTTCCTTCCTTCCTTCCTTCCTTCCTTCCTTCCTTCAGTTCCTATTTCTTTTTGGGGTCAGGGAATATTTGCTTATACTAGCTCCTCAAAACTTTAGTGATTTCCTCTATAAATTCTTCTAGCAGCTGGGTTGAAATTGTCAAGAGACTTGAATTTAGGACAGCTGGTCTCTTCCTCTTTACTAACCTGTTTTAGGCTTTTCTTTCTTCTTAGCTACATTTCTTAAAAGCTTTTCTGCCTAAATTTTAACCAAAAAAGTCTAAACCAAAGTTAAGCTGGAGTAATTCTGATCCCATCTCTCATTCCCATGACTCCTAGCTTTGGGGAAACAAGAATGAGATGCAGAAAGTATCTCTACCTTGTCCTTGTCTAAGGGTGTGTGGGGTCTTCATGACCAGGCATGACCCAGGGCCACGGCCAGAAGCAGCAGGTTTCTTGCCCATTTGGGCCAGTCTGCACATAAGCCAAATTTATTCACTTGTGTTCTCTATTGGTTAGTTTGGAAAAGATGATGCACCTGCCATATCTTTGTGAGTTTAAAACCAAATATTAAATAGCTAAATTATTTTATTGTTTAGGTGTTCCTTGGTTCTTTGTTTTGAGCTTTTGAGTACTGAGACTAGAACTACTGGTTCCCTGACATTCACAAGGCTGCATTGGCAGACATGCACATAGAATAGTCTTGAGCTCTATCCAATTTTTTTAAATATATATTTTTATTGCTCTCAGAGAGGAAGGGAGAGGGAGAGATAGAAACATAAATGATGAGAGAGAATCACTGATAAGCTGCCTCCCGCACACCTCCCACTGGGGATCGAGTCTGTAACCCAGGCATGTGCCCTTGACCGGAATCAAACCCAGGACCCTTCAGTCCCCAGGCCAATGCTCTATCTACTGAGCCAAACTGGCCAGGGCGAGCTCTGTCTAATTGAACAAGGCTTGATTCTATTTGAACACACATTTGCTGAACATCTATTATTATGCCAAGCTCTGACTAAATAGACATCCCTGCCTTTAGGTTAGGCCCTAACCGTTAGGGTATTTATGGTTTGGTAAGGAAGATATGTTACTAGTTATATAAGTAATTGTATGTAAAGTAAATAAAACCATATATAAATTGAAATAAATGAAATTAAAGAAAGAGGAGCATGCTATGAGAACAAATAACCAGGAGCATTTTGAGATTGTGGAGTCAGGGAAGGTTTTCCTAAAGAACTGAAACTTTCCTAGCCAGTGTGGCTCAGTGGTTGAGCATTGACCTATGAACCAGGAGGTCACAGTTCAATTCCTGGTCAGGGCATATACCAGGTTGCAGGCTCAATCCCCAGTAGGGGGTGCACAGGAGGTAGCCAATCAATGATTCTCTCTCATCATTGATGCTTCTATCTCTCTCTCCCTGTCCTTTCCTCTCTGAAGTCAATAAAAATATTTTTTTAAAAAGAGAAATTTAAGGCTACACCTGAAATTTGAATAGAAGTTCCCTGTACAAAAATACTAGAGAACCACACTTTAGGCAGAGAAAATAGATGTGGGAATGGGCAAGAGGGCCATGTTACAGCTCAGAGAACAAGAGAGAAAGGCTGACAGGAGAGATTGGGGAGACAGACAGGGTCAGATAGCACAGAGCTGAAAAAATATAGCTAAGGAACTTAGAACAAATAACACGGTTCCCCACTATTGCAGTGATGTCCTATAGGGCCAGGTTAGAGGCCAGGACAAAGTCATAGGTCCATAGTGGTTCACTACTACAATTCAGGTTCAGTCTCTAAAAGTGATGATTAAATAGTGCTGAGGCTGTTCTGTTATATATCTGCATTGGAGACTCCATGCACACATCTGAATTATTCATTGCTATGTCCTTTGCCCCTATCCAAATGCCTGGCACAGAGTAAGTCTTTAATAGGATTTTATTGAACAAATGAAAGTGTTCTTTTTTTTTTTCACCCAAAGATATTTTTCCATTAATTTTCAGAGAGAGTAGAAGAGAGGGGGAAAGACAGAGAGAAATATCGATGTCAGAGAAACATCGATTGGTTGCCTCCTGCACATGCCCTGACCAGGGCCCTGGCCAGGGAGGACCTGCAACCGAGGTATATGCCCTTAACCCGAATTGAACCCAGAACCCTTCAGTCTGCAGGCGGACGCTCTATCCACTGAGCCAAACCGGCTAGGGCTGAAAACTAATGAAGAAAACTTCATGTATTTCCCCATAATACCTAAAAGAAGTATCTTAAACTACCCAAAAGTTCAGGAATTATATAACAGTATGAAGTCCCAAAAGAACCAGGAGATCTTCCCAAAACAGAGTCCGCAGGATTTATCATCTGCATTGATAAAGAAGGATATGTCTTTTTTAAAAATAATTACTCATATAAGTGTAGTGGCTAGAAGGTTGGGAAGAATTTATGGTACATAACCAACTTTGTTAATGTCTTTATAGGGAAGAAATTTTTATATTGTGAGCCACACAAGAGAATTAAGGAAGTACTGGAAGAAGAACTCTATATTAAGAGAGATGAATGCCACATTAAAAATCCACCTGCAGGTAATCTTGGTGACAAATGAGTGTACAGTATTGTGAAATGGATATGAAATTGCCTATTTGATTGCAGAATGATTATTTATTGCAAAATCATGACTATCAAAAGAAAAATGGTTCTTTGAGGAAATTATTGAGCTAATTTGATAATTACTTGCCTATACCCAAATAAGCTGTTATTATTAAATTATTAAATATCAGTATCTACATCGCTATCTCAGGTTTTTTGAAGTGATTTCTATTTAATGACAAGCAGAATTTTTCCCCCCGACTGCCTGAAAAACACAATAACATCTTTGATCTTTATCAACATAGGTATGACCAATAACAGTGGTCCCAGCGTTAGATTTCATCACAATTACCTAGGAGCCTATCAAAAGCAGATTGCTGGGAACTGGCTCAGTAGGTCTGGGGTGGGGTTCAAGAATTTGCATTTGTATCAAGTTCCCAGGTGATGATGCTGCAGGCCAAGGGGCCCCGCTGTGCAAATCACTGACCCAGAAGAATCTAAGTCATTTAAATAAGTCAACTTATCCAAGGGTTTATTGCACATACATATAGTGTATGGGTTATATGGTATTGAGAGCTTTCACTGGTGGTTCATTGGGGAAAAGACATGCTCTAGAATCTGAATCCCTCACAGATGTAATTTCGAAACTGCTGGAGCCCCTCATTTTCACAGTTCTTTCTCAGTGATTACTAGGTGCATACTTCATGCCCTTCAAATCATCAGTTTTTTATAGAAACTCTCTTGGGTACCAGCATTGCTGGGAGAAATAAAAGAATTGAAAACATGACTCTGAGGATTGTGGAACACCCAGCAGGTAAGGCCTGAATTCTCTAAAAATCCCTAAGAGCAGACACTGCAGGCCGCAAGGTGCATAATTTCAGACTCCTGACATATTTGCTCTCTTTTTCAAAACCAGCCAGAGAAACATCTTTTCAGGTCTCCCATGTCACTGATTCTTACAGAAGGAGAGAGCAGCAAAGTGGGCAATTTTGTTCATGTGGTATCTGGAAGGAGAGTTACAGTCTAGTTTGAACTCCTGTGAGTGGATGGAGAATGACCACTAACCTGTTTCCCCGATACCCAGACTACATACCATTTTCCTGGTGGTTAAACACTGTTTAAGTCTATACTATTATATTTGGGGTTTACTTTCATTTATACACTTATAAATTTATGATTTATATACTATTTGGATGTTGTATTAATCTTTTAAATATATATTTTTTTATTGATTTCAGAGAGGAAGGGGGAGAGAGAGAGAGAGAGAGATAGAAATATCATTGATGAGAGAGAATCATTGATCTGCTGCCTCCCGCATGCCCCCCACTGGAGATCGAGCCTGCAACCCAGGCATGTGCCCAACTGGAATCAAACCGTGATCTCCTGGTTCATAGGTCAAAGCTCAACCACTGAGCTATGCTGGCTAGGCCAATGTTGTATTATTCTTATTGTATATATTTGATTATAAGACAGGCTATGTGAATAGGAAATATCATTTGGCTTATAAAAATTCATTTTTATAGGCAATCTTTTCAAATATGTTCAAATAAAATAGAGAATGCTTGGGCTGCATTTTAATAATATCCACTAGAGGTGGCAGAGAGGTACTATTTTAGCCTAGAAAAATCTTTCAAAGCTGAAAATAAATTCTTTAAGGTTAAGTTTTAAAGGGACTATACTTATGGAAAACAAATTGCTATTCTTTTCTTCTTCTTCTCCTCCTCCTCCTCCTCCTCCTCCTCCTCCTCCTCCTCCTCCTCCTCTTCCTCCTCCTCCTCCTCCTTCTTTTAATGGCTGAAAGCCCATGTCCTTGGCCACAAGCTTAGTCTCAGGGTGTTGGCAGCTCTGGGCCAGCCACTGGACCTGCTGGTGCAGGATTACTGTGACGCAGTTCTTTAAATACATGGTGAAGTCATGGCTTCTCGTCCCAAAAACACAGCTTGTTACCCACACCCAGAATTCTGCATAAAACTTGTAGGGATTGGATGGCTCTTATAGATGTTGAGAGTTTAGTACACTTGACCTATGGTCTCCACTTCTTTATCCTTTGTTCCTCTATCCATTCCAATTAGGTTTTTGCTTCCATGAATCCAGGATAACTGTTCTCTTCCAGTTTTCAAATGGCTTTCCTCTTGAAGGTCAAATCCAATGATCTTAAAGATCAGATAACATCCACAAACACATCACACTCAACTTTTCTGTAGGATCTGACACAATTGTTTACTCCTTCCCTATTAAAACACGTTCTCAAGTAGCTTCCAGGTCACCGTGCTCCAATCTCCTGGTTTCGTTCGTACCACTTTGGAGAATTTTTGCTCTGAACTTTGGAGAATTCAATCACAGGCCCTGTTCTCTATCGACACTGACTCCTGGGTGGTCATATCTAATCATATTCTACTCCAAGATTGATCTCTCTAGCTTCTGCTTTCCCCTACAATCCCAAAAGCCTGCTTAACTTTCCACTTGGATATCTAATAGGTCTTCAAACCTAACAGGCCCAGACAGAACTCATGTTCTTACTCCAGCTTTTGAAATCCCACTCTTCAACAGGTCCCACCTTCTCGAGAAACGGTACCACCATTCACTCAGTGGATTAGGCCAAAGACCTAGAAGTCAAATCCTCAAACTTCACATCCAGTCCATCAACTGATCCTGTTGAATCTACAATTGAAATATAACCTAAATTTCCCCAACTGTGGCCTTGCCCAAGCCTCCATCATCTCTTGCAGGCTCAGCAGTAACATCCTGTAACAGTTTCTACTGTCCTTTATTCTCTGCACAGAAATCAGAGGGACCTCTTACATGTAAATCTTCGCACATCACCTCCAAGCTCAACACTCTCCAATGGCTCCATATTAGTCTTTGTTTATGTTTTAATCTCCTTGTATGGCCAACTCACCTCTCTGAACTCATCTCCTATACTTTCCTAATCCACTTTACCCACACAGGCTTTCTTGATATATTGGAGCAGGCCAAACCTACTCCCCCCTCCCTCTCCTCCTCCCCCCAACCCCCACCTTTACACTTCACTTAGACCATCAAATGTCTTCCTCTCTCTTCATTCAAATTTCACTTCAAATGTCATTCACTCGGAGGTAACCTCTCTACCAAGTTAAAATAGAAACTACCCACCCTCCCAAGTTACTCTCTAAGCCAGCGGTTCTCAACCTGTGGGTCATGACCCTTTCACAGGAGACGCCTAAGACCATCAGAAAACACATATATAATTACATATTGTTTTTGTGACAATAATCACTATGCTTTAATTATGTTCAATTTGTAACAATGAAATTGGGGGTCACCACAACATGAGGAACTGTATTAAAGGGTCGTGGCATTAGGAAGGTTGAGAACCACTGCGGGAGCCTTTATATTACTTTTTTCTTTCTGCTTTTTTCTATCACTTCCTGAATTATATATTAATTTGTGTACTCCATTATTGACTCTTCCACTAGAACATAAGCCACCTGAGGACAGAGTCTCTATTTTACTTACCACAAATTCTCACAAAGCCATGTGCTATAGCTGTTATGGCTTTTTTGAGATATACTAGTAGTGTTACCCATTTTTATGGTTGAGTAAACTAATATTTTGAGAGGTTTTTTTACTGTCCAAGGTTATGCATTAAGTAAATGGCAAAACCGAATTCCAAATTCAGGTCTGACCCCAAATGCAGTTGACTTTCTTGATTGTTTGTTTGTTTGATTGATTTTAGAGGGAGAGAGAGCAAGGGAGAGAGAGATTTGTTGTTCCACTCATTTATGCATTAATTGGTTGATTTCTGTATTACTCTAACTGGGGATCGAACCCACAACCTTGGCATATTGGGATGACGCTCTAACCAACTGAGCACCAGGCCAGGGCACCATTGACTTTCTATTCACTGTAGTGCCTCCTGTGACATATTATGGCTAAATCTAGTGGCTTGGGATTTCTGCAACATTTGACATAGTTGATGGCTCTCTCCTTAACCATTCTTCCTTCCTCAAATTCCTTGATACTAAAATGTCCTCATTCTTCTCTTCTCTGGATAGTCCTTCTAATCCTCCTTTATGAATAATTTTAAGTCACCCCCATTTTCAAATGTGGATGTTTGCCAGGGTATTACCCAGAGTCTTCTCATCTTGTTTCATGAGTTCTCCCTGAATCGGCTCAGCTATTCCCGTAGTTTCCTCTACTATATCACTGCCATGCTTCTGAAATCTGTGTCTCCAGGCTAAATCTCTCTTCCCAGATGTCCCATAAGTACCTAGGGTCCACGTCCAAAATTAAACTCATACCTCTCCCCATTGCTCCTTCCCATGTGTCACCCATCCCAGTGAATGCCATGGCCTGTTATCCAAGTCTAGAACCAGAGAGCCATCCTCCATCCCACTCCAGATCACCGTATCCCGCATCTCATTAGGCTATCAGGGCTATCTTAGCTTGGCTCAGGATCCAAACTGTTGGCTCATATGCTAGCTCCCTCTTATAAACATATGGACATATTTATTTGTTCTGCATTGGGTTTTTTAAATATATGAAGGAGTTGTCAACATTTTAAATAATATCAGGACTGTTTATATACAAATCTAGATTTCTAGATTATCTTGGGTGGAGAGAAAGGGGGGAAGAGAAAGAAAGATGTGACAACAGAGTCGACATTCACAGTTGGCAGCAGTCACACTGTCCTTGCTGGCCTCTCCACCCAACTGTTAAACGTTGCTCACCCAGTTCCCCAGTCAAGTGGGGCATATCACATGCTATTTAATGTTTACACATTCACTGCAGACTTCCTCTTCTTGTGGTAGAAATAGGGAAAAAGTATTTCTCTGGCATTCACGCCTCCAGCACAAGTAGAAAGAAAATAAGACTGGAAGAGCCAGTTAGTTTTTACCCCTGACTTTACTTCCTTGTATTACCTGCCTGGTTTCACTCTCTCTCAGAAGTTCTCTCAGATAGAGAAGCAATATATACTATTTCTTAGGTATACCCCAGTCTATCTCAATTCTAGGGA